CACCAACAAGAAACTATGGGAACAAACAAAACAAGAACCAATCGACCAACAAAAATGCAGGAGAAAGTGGAGATGGACTGAACACTCGCTGAGGAGGCCGTTGGGTGACATCGCGCGTCAGGCCAATGCTCGAGTGGAACCCGAAAGGGAAGCGGCAAGTGGGACGTCCAAGGGTGACATGGAGGAGATCGTGTGATGAGGAACTGAAACAGTATGGATTAACGTGGATGCAAGTGAAAAGTACAGCAGAAGACAGAAGCAAGTGGAGACGTGTAGTTGAAGCCCTATGTTCCACTAGGAACCCAAGGGAACAATAATAATGATAAATAATAAAGAGCCTTATGTTCCCAAATATCCATATATATAACTGCTACTATTTGGGATATTGGTGATCCTATTGCCACCCCATTCGTTTGTTTATATAGTTTGTTTTGAAATTTGAATACAGTGGAAGTTAGACATAGCTGAACATCTGATATTATTTCATCAACCGAGCGTTTAGTCTTACTTTTAATTTCAGGATCAATGTTTAATTCATTCCTGACTGCCTCCAGAGCTGTATTAATGGGAATATCACTATATAGACTGGTTATGTTAAAACTAATCATTTTTTCATCTTTTGCTAATTGATGCAATCAACTCTTTATCTTATGATAAAGGCTTAGTAATCAAATAGAGTTCACTAATACTGAAGGTTTATAACCATCTGACTACCAACAATCCAGAGAATACAAATTGGCCTGCTAGTACAGAGTTACATAGAGTTAAAACTCCACTCATAAGACATCCAATACTGATTTACGCCTCATCAAGTTTATGATCAAAAGTTTACAACCAAAGTGATTTTTTTCTGAATAAAGCAAGAACAACAGTTTGTGCAGAATAAAATGGTACCATCATTTATTTAGTTCGCTTCTCATCAGTCGCTTACAGCCTTAGGATATTATTAAACTTATGTACAGAAACAATTTTAACATACCTGCAATTTTCATATCATATCAGTTGACAGAGATGGCATGCAATGGTAAAAGAGTTGCGTAATAAAGACAATAGGCTAAAGCCAAAGACCAAGTATTCGAACGAGAGAGAGAGAGAGTAGAGACATCGAGTTACCAGAGTAAGGGAAGACTGAAAACTGCTTCTTTCTTTCGGCCTGCTTAAATAACTGGACTACAAGAATTTCCATCCATCAAAATACCTAAACTCTTCGGCATTTCTTATTGTTTTAATCATTCAGTTACATCAAATGATACCTACATGAACTCGCTTTGAACGAAACTCTACACCAATCTTGAATGAAATGAAAAAAAATGTACAGAAATGGTTCTGTCTTCATATGCAACTACACTATGTTACTTGATATACTTCAGATTATTACTTTACATGTAAATCCTGTACGAGGACGAAATATTTTGGGACGCTGAAAATTTCTGTACTATGTTCTCACATACTGTCTGAAATAAAGCCTCATTATTTTATTATGATTATTATCAAGATGTTTGGTAGTGGCACTACTGAAAGTGTTAGTTTCCTTGAAATGTAGGCTTTTTGGTACATGTTCAGAAAAAATCGGAGGTGTGGCCTTCTTTCTGTCCTCCCAATGTAACTGCACCCTCAGATTCATGTAAATTTGTATACACAGAGTAAAGATGAGAAGATTGTCTGGCAAATTTATACAAAATTTTAAATTTTTCAATAGCATCTGTAATGGGAATTTTGTGGAGTCAAGAAGTTTAAACATCAGCAATGGCGACAAGTATGAGCTAATGATCTCTTAGCAAATATTTAAGAAAGATAATATTTCTCACCTTTTTCAATTCTTCTGAGCTTGAGAAATACCTATTTTATGCATACAATGAATACTATACATTCGTTTCCAGGATCACAAATAGAAAGCCTACATCTATCTGCATTGGTAGAACTAGTTGTCAATGATTTTGTGGGTTCATTAGCTAGCCTTTCTCTTCGTATAAATGACATTTCACAGGAATCAACTGTTACTTTTAATATCTGTTTATGTTTGAAGAGAATATTGTCATCCCAGCAAGTCAGTGGTTCAGTAGTTGAATGCTTGCCAACCCCGTACGATCTCCAAGTTTGAATTCCGGTCAACGAGCTCCTATACCTCGCCTAGCCAGTAGTAAGTCCAGTCTAAAGGGAAGGTTGGGCGTGTGGCTATCAACCCATCCTTGAGACTTCAGAGCTTAGGCTTGAAGCCCTATGTTCCACCTGGAATGTAGAGTAATGAAAAAAATATTGTAAGTTTATTATATTACCATTAGACCCATATAAGTGTACTGCCGTTCCCCTATAAAAATGCCTTCAGTGTTCACTGAGTAGATCATTCTTTGAAGTTTATCCATCCAAATATGGACAGTATAATTCTTGTAATTTTATGACATAATTCGAACACACATTAAAATTTCATTAAAAACTAAAATTTCTGTATTTAGAGAATACAAAAAATTAAACACGCTGAAATTAGTTTTTCTCGACTGGAAAATAATTAAATTTAAAAAATGGAACCGAATTTTTAAGTAATGAAGTTATAAAATGTACAATTTATCTATCCAGAAGCAAAGACTAATCCCTTATGGGTAGGAATTATTGTCTACAACTAATGGTTGTGTTTTTCTACGAACAAAAATGGGTCTTAAACTGTTTGTTCTCTAATAAAGGTCTACTGATCTCATGTGAGTGTGTTCAGTATGCTAAGTCAAATGATGTTCGTTAATAAGATAAAACTAAATATATTTTGGACTGAAGGATATATCTTTTATCATGTAAAGAATGAATTTTTGAATATCTACTACCATGAACTAATTTTAATATAAAAAATTGCATTAAAACAGAATATTTACTCTCAATGGTCACATATTTTAACTGATTAAAAATGCCCATTAAAAATTTTTCAAAAAATGGATACACTGAATTTACAATGAAGATGATTACAATAAAAAAAGGAATGAAAGTCAGAATGCAAGTCAGAAAATTTACCCAATATTAGTTGATAGAATTTGATTGTACAAATAATCTTACATTTACCTGACGGTATAATCAGAAGCTCTGAAGTTAAAGTAGTGGAGATGGTGTCGTTTTTGTGGGGCGGGGTGGGGTAGCCAGCCTCAAGCACGACATTCCCTTTCTACAGGACTTACTCCCGGCTAGGCGAGGTTAAGTAGTACGCCAGCTAGGACTCAAAGCAAGAATCGGAAAAGCAAGACAAGCTTTCACTACTCTCAAGTCTGTGTGGAGGTCAACAGCACTCAGCATCAAAAATAAGATCCGGATTTTCAACTCCAATGTGAAGTCAGTCAGTGCTACAATACGGATCAGAGACTTGCACTGCGCGTCATAAAGAGCATCTCAAACAAACTACAGACCTTCATTAACAGTTGTCTTCGCTCAATACTCAAGATCAGATGGCCGGCCAGAAAAGATCAGCAACAGGGATCTCTGGGAGCAAACCAACCAGGAACCGATTGTGAAACAAATATGCAGAAGGAAATGGAGATGGATTGGCCATACTCTGAGGAAACCATCAAGTGACATCACTAGACAAGCCATTGCTCGAGTGGAACCCGAAAGGGAAGCGGCGAGTTGGTCGTCAATGCAAGGGTGACTTGGAGGAGGTCATGTGAAGAGGAGATGAAAACGTGTGGGCAGACTTGGAGCCAGGTGAAGACTCTAGCAGAGAACCGAACGCAATGGAGACGCACGGCTGAAGCCCTATGTTCCTCTAGGAATTAAAGGAAACAATAATAATAATACAGCTAGGACTCAAATCGTAACCACATCCGTGGTTGGCGAACATTCTACCTCTGAATCACCGACGCACCCTGACGGTATAAGGCATGCTACTAAGCAGTTCGGACATAATTGAATAAATGTGTATGGAATCTAGATCACTTGTAATACTGCGCTTTATTGATCTCTTAGGTTTACACTTTTTACTGGTAGGCGTCACAGGTAAATGTAAGCCAGATGGGCAATGAAACGAAGAAGGACTAGATAACACTGTCTAACCATTGCACTAATTCAATAAAACTGTCTACGAAATCATATCCAAAAGCAACAATTTTTTATGAAAATGGATTCTCAATTCATGACACTGAATAATGGTTGTAGAACACTGAGTTTTGAAAGCAGGTGGTAAGTGAGGGTAAAATTGATGCTAACCAAAATGTTTCTATCACAGAACATTTATTGTAGGACATAACACACCTGGACTTGCTATTACATAGGGTTTTAATTAATTATTCCTATGAAATATTCAGTGATATTGAAATAGCTTTGAAATTGACTTCGATTCACAGTGATTTCAACACAAATTTTAATCCATGCAGTGAACCTTCTTAAAAACATCTAAGTAACTACTAATCAATCAGTGGGAAGTGATTTATCTTTACACTTATAAACTAACATCAAATCTATTGAACACACTCAACTTAATACTTCAACTTCAAAATATATAAGAACGTTTAAGTAAAATTACTGTGACAGGTTGGTCGTGGGCTGATATTAGTTACATAACCATTCGAAAGTCAAGGAATACTAGATAGCTGTTTCGTCGTAGTTTGGGACTCTTCATCAGCACGCCTCCAAAGGAATCTGAACCCAGAACTCCCAGGTTACAAATCCAGCTCGTAGGCTGTTCAGTCACTGGAAGCCAATTCAATAGTCTATTAGTTCCAACTTTTGCCAGTTCGCGAGATATAGCGCAACAGTCAGCCAATTAACTGTTCTCTTATCTGACTTGGCGTATTGATGAAGAGTCCTGAATGAGTAAGAAACAGATGTACATTACTTCCTAGTTTTCCAATGGCTCTCTAACCAATGTCAGCTCGCAGTCAAACCTGTAGTCAATCAAATTCCTGTAAACCAACACTTAAACTTACTACTATTATTTATACTGTTTTACTCTGTTTAACTGAAGTGTTTTAGTTTCCTGTTCTCTGACATTCAGTTTTCCTAAACCCATTTGTTTATTAACTTTGTAGAATACTGAATCACAAAAGCAGACTGAATACGTGTCTGAAAGAGAACGATGCATAGACCGAGGTCCAGCATGGATAAAAGCTATATGTGCATTTATCATACTATCAAGTCACTATGGTATACTAAACTGTGGTGCTTTATTCTATCCTGGACTAGAGGAAGCTCTTCAAATTCCACTGAATGTTCTCTGCTGGCTGATGACTGGTCAATTTGCAATTACATTTTGTTTGGGTAAGCACTGATTTTTTTTTATGTAGTTATCATTTCATAGAAGTTTTTAAATTGTCAATATTTGTTTTCTTTATCACTGAATGCTGTCAATACAGTCCAATTCATTTATCAGTAGAATGTAGGATGAATGGTCAAAATGTTTTTAGTCACTGAAACTATATAAAATCAATAACTAAAATAAATAAACGTATTTCTTGTTATCATTTTGTCAAGACATCCATAAAAAAATTAAGGATGAAATATCAGGAAACATGATAAGTCTTAGAGAATTTCTCTTACTTTTAATGGTCGTGAAATAAAAAGCGTTAATGGAACTGGCGTCGAATAACTTATACTTGGAATTGCATGTTGAATTGATAAATTATAACATGTTAAACTAGACCATGGAAATCCAGTTTTTGCAAACTGTTATATTTCTACTAAGTGTTGCTTTCCTTATCCATTTCCGCCTCTTCATTTCATGCTGTCTATTTCGATAACCAATAAGCATTATTTCCAAGGTTCTAAAACCACATAAGTCATCTATCTGTTTGTAATTTTCCCCAAAGACTCTACACTCCAAACTACTTAAATGATCTTGTCAGTCGTACTCATTACAACTGGATAAAGAATACTGTTAATCAGAAAATGTATACTATTGTCGACCAGTGACCTACTGACGCTGAACAGTATTGCTTAAGTCACAGAAATCAGCTTCTGAGTAGATTGTTTTAGTATTCTTCTACATAATAGTACCCACAATGCATAGCTGTTTTGTTTTTATAATGATTTAGAGATTATCTGGGACAGCATTAGTCAATCAAACTGATCCTAATGATCCCGGTTGAAAGCAAAACTTAGGTTGCTACAGGTTTCAAACTGTTATGCGTTATTATCATTATTTTAGGTACAACTTTTGGCTTGATCGCGTGATTTATACTACAAGTGCAAATAAAGCAATCATGATTATATTCAGCTGTAATCTCCTATATGAGGTATTGAAATAAAATTATTTTTTCAATTTATTTTAGCTACCAATATTTATGCACTGTACACTAAATAGACCAGATGGCTAGATATCCAAAACTGCTTCTCCAGTTATTATTATTTTTTTATTTACTGTTCATCATAAATGCTGAAATAAACTGTATGTTGTGAGAGAAAATGAATTGCATAGTCTGCTGATAAGAGTTAATCTAAGTGGTAACATTTAGAAGAACAGACCACAATCTGAAAGAAAGAATATAAAAACCTGCTGTATTGATAATTCTATCGACAAATTCTCAGCAAAAGTATCTTTACTAGATCAGAAGAAATTCGGCAACTCAGGCTTTCTGTTTTCGGTTTCTTCTTCGCATCCTTCTTACAGACAGAAAGCTACTGATCAAAGCATATATATTTATATATTACAAATAAGTGGCTATTCATCAGTTCGCGTACAATATTAAGAAATTAGAATTTGTGAGTATATTTGTTGTTGTACAAGTCGCTGGTTACGTGAAATCACCTAAATTACTCTGCGAATGAATTCTACAGTTGAATCACACAAAATGTGGTGAGAGATGTCTCCCAGCCGAAATTGGTAGACAGTAATTTACGTCAATGTTTACGTCTCATATCTTGGTCACGAGAAATAAACGAGGACAAAGACTAACTCAACAACCAGTAACAGCAGACTTTGAGTGGGCGGATGAGATTCGCAGATATATGGTCTGACCTTCAAAGAAATGGTCACAAAGAGATGACAGAATAACTTTCAACGAGAAAACAACCAATCAGAAGACGCTGTTTCTCTGCTAATAATAACGAATAATAATGTACATAAAAATATATAAATATCTCTTGATTTCCTCAATAAACGATCTGTTGCCTGGCCCTTGTCTTCTGTCGTTACAAAAATATGACTTTAAATTTTATGTATTCTGTGGAAACAGATGAAAAAATCGTTTCCTTTAAACAAATCACACCATTACTGATAAACACAATGTCGTTTATAATTATAAGGAAGTGGGTTTAAAGACCGCCTGCAGCAATTACATTATCTGATATTTATTCTTAAATTACATCACAGAATAAACGTTGAATGTCAGTGTTTATCTAAACACACCTTAGTCTTTCTAGAGCCTAACCATTCTATTTTTAGGTAGAGTATGAAGACATTTATTATGAAGTTGACTTTTATATATATATATATATATCAAAGAAAAAATAAAAGTAACTCAATATTTTCAGTAAATAAGACTGACTTCTGTCGGTCTAGAGATCGCCTACTTTTACCTTTCTATTGTGGTTCTTTTAACCCTGTACTCCATACAAAAATTACGGCAAAGATCATTTGATGGATTATGCTAACATTTCTCAGTATCCACAACCTTTGAATTTATTCGTTGTAAACATTATATTCGTGATATATTCATATGAGGCATAAGTAATAAATTAAACACTAGGTTTACTGGATACTCGTAGGCAGTTAGAAGAAAGCTCAAAACTTAAGTTTTATGCGTACTGTTGTAACGACAGAAGACAAGGGCCAGGCAACAGATCGTTTATTGAGAAAATCAACAGGTATTTATAGATTTTTATGTGCATTATTATTAGCATGGAAGCAACCTCTTCTGATTGGTTGTTTTTCTCCTAAAGGTTATTCTGTCATCTCTTTGTGGCCGTTTCTCAGAATATCTGTAAATCATATTTCCGCACTTTAACTCCGCTGTGATTGTCTGGTGATTTTCTCAAGGTTAAGCTTTGTTATTGTTTTTCTCATGACCTTGATTCGGGACGTAAACATTGACATAAATTGTTGTCTACAATTTTGGCTTTCAGACAGCTCTCACCACACTGTTACTCTTCAACAGGGCATATTAGCAACCTCAAAGCAACTGATATCCTAGAATCATATTTGTCATTAAGAGATTATGCACCAATAAACTGAGATGTTTTCATTATTTGACTTCATTGAACTTATTATGCTTCATAATAGAAGATTGATGAATGCTGAATTCCATTCTGTATCACAAGTACTGTTTTGGAATAAAGCAAATTATTATTATTATTAATAACGGAAACGTGAATTTTTCAGTTTATAAATTTACCTTGGAGTCATTTAAGAAAAAATACATGGCAGACGGGGAAGATTTTTATTTTGACTGTTGGCAACTTTATGACTTCTTATGATTTTATTTACTGGCTTATTATTTGAAAAAAAAAGATGTGAATGCCAGTCTCCTGTTAGTGGGAACCAAAAAAGAAATAGTTCACACAATGCAATAATATAAATTCGATTAAATAAATCCTCACCATTCTTCACTAACTTTCTTTTAAGAGTTGAACGTTTTAATTTTTATTTTGATGGTTTCAAAAGTCTGTGAATATAGAGATTTTTCTAAAGTTTGACTTAAATATCATTTCGGGAATCACTTTAAAGTACGCCTCTCTTGATTTTTATTTATACCTCTATTTATGCGTATATTTTCATTCCTCGCTTAATATTCAAAAATACTTTTAACTTTTTCAGCACCATTGTATAATCGTTTATTGGATTTAGTGGCTAACAGACCTGCGACAATTATATCAGTTGCAGTTACAAGTGCTGCAATCATCGCATCTGTATTCTTTAATAGCTATTTAGGATTCTTTCTCACTTATACACTAGTTGGCGGTAAGTTAATTATTTGTTGATTAAAAAAATACACTTATAATGCATCTGAATAAAGCAAGAACAACAGTTTTTGCAGAATAAAATGGTACCATCATTTATTTCGTTGGCTTCTCATCATCTCAGCTGCTTACAGCCCAAAGTCATTATTAAGGAGCGGTTATCAGTCTTTCCTTGCCCTGGTAACTGGATGTTTTTATCCTCTTTTTCATCTGATTACGCAACACCGAAGGTTTCCATTGTGTATGATCATTATTGTTTGGGATAAAGTGTTTATTATTATTATATATTATTGTTTTATGCACATATCGATTGATTTTTGTTTAAAAATGAACTCTGTGCAAGTGTGTTAAAATTGTTTCTGTAGATATACTTAATAATGACTTTGGGCTGTAAGCAGCTGAGATGATGAGAAGCCAACGAAATAAATGATGGCACCATTTTATTCTGCAAAAACTGTTGTTCTTACTTTATTCAAATTCATTAAGGGGAATAAATATATTATGCATCTATTAATATTTCGTATGTTAGTAGACTATTGAAATGAATTAGGTTATAATTAAGGCTAACTAAATTAAAACAGAACAATCTCGTAATGCTTTTAGGGAGCTTAGTAATACATATTAAATCCTGTCAACCCAAACAATTCCCATGGGCAAATACCAATATTTTCACCCTATACACTAGTTCTCTTAGTTTTTTTACGAAATAGAGTACAAAATAGCCATAGTAATTTGACAATCTGAGTAAATATGCATCAAAGGAAGAAAATGAAAGAAAAAGTTGAAGGCTTTGGATTTCAAAAATATTCACCATTATAAAATCATCAAACAACATTTCAGAGTATGAATGATTCTGAAATCAGGTATCTTTTTTTCCATTTCATTAGCTTTGCTCGATAAATATGAAAGCAACTTACCTCTCTCTTTTTCCTATGCATTGTTTACAAATTTGAATTCTAATATTATTTAACAGTGGAATAGTTGATGAAACTTCCCAAATTATTTAAAAAAATCCGTTGTGAAGTCATGGTTGAAAATTCTCATCGAATTTTTCGGATACATACACCGGAAGTTTATTTTGGATTGCCTAGAAAGAAATTTTTAATGCGATATTCACATAAATGTTCTAATAAAGAGAAAGGCAGCTAATATGTATGTAAAGACGGGTGTTTCCGAGTAAAAAAGAAGTAAAACTGTATCTTGGGTTAAAACGCATCGATGGCACAGCGGTAGAATGCTCGCCAACCACGCAGGTGGTTCGGGGTCCTGGCCGACACACTCCCTTAACTCGCTAAGCCAGTAATAAGATTGGTAAAGAGGGGAGGTTAAGCGTGAGGCTAGTAATCCCATCCCGTAAAAATAAA